TTACCGCTGTGGGTGTCGAGGGAGATATAAGGTTCTGTTTCTAGCTCTTCTGGCCACCTCGACCATAGGCACATCGTGCTGTTGTAGAGCTTCTCTGATGTTATCCTTCCATCTTGGATAACATCAGAGAAGCTCTACAACAGCACGATGTGCTGAATACATCAAAAACAGTTAATTACAGTTTAAAAAAAATGCCCTCCAAAATGCAACATCAAAGTAAATTGGACAATTCTGAAGCAAGTTGATATGTTAAACTCTTTCACCCCCAAGAAGCCACAGAACTAACACATCCAATTGGGTCCATTTGCCCGTAAATATCACTTCTCTTACTTGTCTACAGTGACATGTTTACAAGACAGGTAGTTAATGCTATTAGCTGAGTTTGCACCTGTGTATACGTTTAGGTAGCTGATTCCTTGCCGAGTGCGCTGCCCAAGAAATGAAACTCCATAACTCCAGTGTTGACCCCAAGGGTCTCAAAAACTCCTTTACTCACAAATGATAAGAAACTGGACTTGAACTTCTGATATCAGGCATATGTTTTAACCACTTTGCTACATAGGCTGTATCAATCAAATGTCTTAGACAAGAAAGAGTGGGCCTAAAAACTGGGTACTGCAAAGATTAAGCAACAACTGGCAGGAATTAAAAAAAAAAAATAAAGAAACCATGAGTTGTAAACTTTTTGGCTCGGCACTATGGATATCACAACCCTTCAGCCTGGATTTTATGATAGATACCATCATCATCATGTAGCAGGTCCTTTGCAGAACGTCGCTCTCATCACAGTCTGCCTGAAAGAAACTCGGTCTCTCGCCAGTTCTCCCGCCTCATGCACTTTCATACTCAAAGAGTCACTTATATCCTGTGCCCATCTTCGTGTCAGTCAGCCCCTGCCCCTCCTTACTGGTACCATGCCTTCTGCTATAATTTTTTCAATCCGTCGTGGCGCTTAATTTGACCAAAAATATTTCACCTTCAGAGAAAGGATGCTGTTTATTAGCCAGTCTTCCTTGATGTTCAGATTTTTTAAGACGTCAATATTTCTCCTTTTCCCTGTCCAAGATATTGATAGATACCATAGATCTGGAAAATATATGGCTTTTCTGCCTACCCTGAACGTGAACTTGGACCGCAAGGAGTTTGTCACCTGATCGCCACGCAGCTGGTTTAACCAACTTAGCTAGCAAAATTATTAAGAAATAAAGGAAATTTAGCAGAAAATCCTGCAAGAAATAACTTGGATAGTCAGAATAAAAACTAGGGTAAAGAAAATGCTCAAAATGAAACAAAAAGACAGACAAGACATGAATAATAATTATTTAAAACAAGAGGCAGACCAAGAAGACGATAGACAGATAACGTCCAGACAGACCTTCAGACACTTAGTGTCACCAACTGGAAAGAGAAGGCCAACCAGAGAGATGAGTGGAGGTGGGTGATATCTGCAGCAATAAACCTCAAGGGCTTGGAACGCTGAAGAAGATAACAAGAAGAAAAACAAAATAAAACTTGCTGCAATCATTAACCACTAGAAAATACTGTGATCTGACAATTCCTCATCCTTACAGGACTGCAGGTTACATGTGGCTGGTGTAGCTATTGCAGGGCCCTAATTATAACCTCTGTGGTTGAACAGGGTTTCTGGGATCTGCCTTGCTAGTCTGCAGTCTAGTTTGAGATTTCTTTTTTATTATCTCAGGCTGGCATGGGAAACCTTAAGGCAGCAACTCAGAAGGGGACAAATTGATAGATCAAATGATTGAAGATGAAGAGGAACATGTAGACAGAGAAGAAAAGCCAACAAATCTAGAAATAAGAAGATGGAGAGTATTAGGAAAGTAAGTTATGTTATCACAATCGGTGTCACTGCACATTGGGTATTCCATGAAAGCTCAATCCTCCGATATAGCAGCCACTCCAAGGTACTTCTACTAATTGTTCTCATGAGAGGTTGGTTATAATGTCTCTTATCTCAGCCTCTAGGGCGGCATAGGAAGTACACACGTAAGTTTTTTTTTGGGGAGGAACTTTTTATGAAGATAAAATTTCAGTGAAGCATGGAAGCAGATAGGTTCTTATTTGATAACTCTTTCAGTCCCAAGAAGCACATCATATGTTCATCGATTCCTACCTAGAAGTCTAATGTTATACATTTCTCTGTACTACCTTCTGGGACTGAACGAGATTAGTTAGATACACTTGGAACTTGATGTATCAGAGAATTGATGATATGTGGAAATTGTAGTTACACATATTATCTGTTACAACAACTATTATAAAGTTAGTTGTATTTGCACTGGAATCTACAGGTGCATAGAAACAAAAGCAGACCCTTAAACAACCCATGGAGAAGGGATCAAGAGAGCAAAGTTAACAAGAAACATGAGATGGGTTGCATGCAGTAGTAAAGATAGGATGAGTTGATTGAGGACTTATGCTCCATTGAAGGATAAAAGGGAGATGAAGAAAGAAGAAAAATTATTTTGTTCTTCAACATTCTGACCCAGAACAAATGTGTGAGTCATGAGTTCTTTTACTTTCTGTGAAAACAATTCCTAGGCAGGTCTGGTTGACCTGGCCATTCGGTCAATAATGGCATTTTCTGCCCAGTACAGCAAAAGCCATGACAAGTTTCAATAGCCATTTGACCTACTTGTAACTTTAATCCATTACCTGCGTGCTGTGACTTTACCTAATCCTGATGGGAGCTAAGTAAGTACTCACCTCTGCCCATGAGGTGTCCCAAAAGCTAACAGCGTAATAGACACATGCTATATTTTCTGTTGTGTGTACCTTATTCCTGTACTCATAAATTATGTTCATTGTGGGTGATCGAAAGACCCTTTTCATGCCAAAGGCCTGTTAAGCATAAGTCTCTGGACTTATATTTTTATTGACCAATCAACACTCAGTGGATAATGTGGTTATTAGCATCATGCTGGCCAACTCTACTTCCCTTGACATTTCCAGGTACTAATTTTAGGCTGGTCAACCTGGAAGCCACAGTTGGATTATAAAATTCGGCCCAGATGCTGAGTTAAACCCCAGAAATTTTGGTTGGTAGCATCTAGCCAATGCACTACAATGGCTGCCCTGAGGTCATGAAAACCATGTTTAAACCTTTTGCCCCATAAATCATCATCATGTAGCAGGTCCTTTGCAGAATGTCGCTCTCATCACGGTCTGCCTGAAAGAAACTCAGTCTCTCACCAGCTCTCCCACCTCATATACTTTCAGTTTCAAACTCAAGGAGTCACTTATACTACCCTTAGTTGCTCTGCCATCATTATCTTCCCCAATTCATGTTTGTGATCTGCCTGGCTTGGGGGCCTCACCATCAGATCTTTGAGTTTCATTTTTGGCTTCCATGATGAGTTTCTTGGGATAGTAATGTGGTAGTTTAGCTCCATAAATACTTGGACAAAAAATTGGACATGAAGCTTGAGAATTTCTGAAAAAATCCCTTTAAAAAAAAAAACCACCCACATAATGCAGGTCACTAAAAAAAAATGTATTGAAATACATAAAAAGGTTTATAAAAAGGTAATTCAGTAAGCACGAATCATCATCTTGTAGCAGGTCCTTTGCAGAACATCGCTGTCATCACAGTCTGCCTGAAAGAAACTCGGTCTCTCACCAGCTCTCGTGCACTTTCATTTTCAAGGAGTCACTTATATCCTAGGCCCATCTTCATGTTGGTTGGCCCCTGCGCCTCCTTCCTTGTGCCATGCCTTCTGCTATTATTTTTTCCAATCCGCCATGGCGCTTGATATGATCAAAATATTTAAACTTCCAAGACAAGATGCTGTTTATTAGCTAGTCTTCATTGATGTTCACATCTTTTAAAATTCCAGTACTTCTTGTCTTCTTTGTCCTTTGTATTCTGAGAATCTTTCTATAGCATTTCAGCTCAAGAGCCCCTATTTTTGTTCTTAATGACTGGGCAGTAGTCCACGACTCGCATCCGCATGTTGCTACAGATAAGATGCCTGCTCTGAAAATAAGCACGAACAAAGGGAAGAATTAAATGAAATACATTCTCCAGGTCTAAAAAACAAGTTGGTGACTCTGTTATGACCTTTGAACTCTATTACTGAGGTTGATATAAACTTGGCTTTAAAAAATCCAGTTTGGGACATTAGGGAACTCTCCTAAATGTTATGTTCAGTTACTTTATTTTCATCATGGCCTACTAAACATCTTGCTATCCTGTTTTGCAGGTAGGTAGTTGTACCCCACCAGGACATCATACAAGCGATAAACACCCGGTGACACAAAGTGCCACCTTGCGGATACGGATCACCTGTGGAGAGGTCCCAGAAACCCCTTCTAGCCGTTAGGACCTATGGCTAGGCCATATCTATGGCCCAGATATATTCAGGGCCCCCGACAGGAGCCAGGGTGGGGCTTTAAACAAAAAATTGAATCACACATGGGAACTTTCTTAAATCGTAAATAGGACCAGTGGAACTACACTTTTAGAGAGCAGGTCGCTGCAAACATGGCCATATATTGGCATTTACAGAACTGGCTCACATCCAGAATGACTAGGTTTGGCCTCCTTGGGGTTGACAAGGTTAATCTTTTAAGTTATTGAGTTTGAGTTACTTATAACAAATGGTTTTAAAAAACAACAAGAAAGACCATTCTCCTTGCCTTTGAACACTAGTATAAGAGAGTCACAATGCGAAGGATATTGAAGCCTCACCATGTAATATTCCTAAAGACAGCAGCTGGTGCCTGCAGCCAACCTTTGTTATGGAGACAGCACACATAGTTTAACTTGATTGTTTTTTTCTTTTTTTTACAGCTGATTATTCCTAAAGGTTTAAAGAAGTTGACACGAGGACACTTTTTCATAGCTCAGCTGTTTAAAAAAACACGTCCTGTCCTTGTTTATTTTTTTTTTTAATAACACGGAGTACCATCCATGAAGTAGAATTATAGGGTAATGCATTCTGTGGAAAAGCACAATCAAGAGATTCATTCCCACAACAATGGCAACTGTTTTAGTCTGGGGTAAAGCTGCAACTGGTGCCCTTGGCTTGAGTGACTTTGAAGGTAGTTGTGTGACAGCTCCTCAGCAGCTGTGTTTAACGGATGATGTTGAGATTGAGAATATCAGCAGTGGGTGCAATCATACTTTAATCTGTCTCAAGAATGGCTCCATGCTTAGTTGTGGAGCTAATGATTTTAAACAGTGTGGACAAGACATGCTTGTATCTAAATTAGGTAGGTACTTTCTGTCATTTTACAGTATAATTTGCAATGTAATGAGTCATCATCAGTATCATTCTTTTGCAGGTTGCACACATAATATAGGGCTTGCTTTTGATCCCTCCATTCCATACAGTCCTTTTAATTTCATGTCTGAAATGCCTGAGAAAAGCTGCTAATTTAACCATCCAAGACATAGTTAGAAATTATAATATCAGACATGCTAGGAACAACACCATGCAGCAGATTCAAATGGTTTGATAATCTAGTAAAAGTACAGTCAAAACAATTAACAACTCAGTTGCTACATATGGAAAGATCTGAAGTGAAAGCAAGAGGTTGCCCTAGAGGAGAGACTGGTGATATTACAGAGCTTCTACATAGACATGGAATGACAGCAGTAATTGCTGCCCATCAAACAATGGAGCTCACACTGTTTCACCTCATGACGCTTCATGGCAGTAGTGAAAGTTGATGATGGAATCTAATCAGGCCCCTCTGCCTCTCTCAGTCAACTTAGATTATGGCTGCTTGGGTCGACTTTACCTAAAATAGGTGCCAGACATTGTCTTGAGAAGTAAAGTGGCCTGGTATGTTGTTGGCCCATCACCCGTCTTGTGCCATTTGGTCTATAAACATATTGTTCTAGCACTGTTAGGCCCAGTATGCCACTAGAGTAAAAAGATCAGCTGACTGCATTAATTGATTACCCTTTATATGTCCTGGGAAAGCAAAGACAGTCGGCTTAATTATGACCACATTACCCACAGAGTGCTGATGGTCTGTAAAAATATGGGACGCTCTGCCCATATGCCCGATGCGCCGCAAGGTGTGAAAAGGGATCTTTACTTTTTATTTTAATTTTATATAATATGCTGTTCTTAACTCCTTATTTCTCATTTAGCTACGGGCGGAGGGTTGGGGGGGGGGGGGGGGGTGAGGCTGCATGGTCTCAAGGCATGGGGTCTGCCTCGAGTGCTAGAGGTTCCGCGTTCAATCCCTGGTAAGGGCTGGGATATTTTCACATGGACTTGGTCTTCTGGGAAGTGAGATCGGACACCCGTGTGCATTGTTGCGCACATAAAAAATCCCTTGGCAGTTGGAAATCAAAAGGAGTAGCCTAAGGGCGCTGGGCAACATTTGGAGTTAAAAATCTACCCAAAGTATTTCAGGATCCTCGCCGGTGCTACAGAGCCTGTCCACTGTGATGAGCTTCTTCAGACTCAGACTTGAGTTAGAAGTAGAACAGAGCACTTATGGGCTACTATCCATGTGCCATGATGTTGATCTGTTGTTCAAACCTCAAACCTCCTCATCTAGCTGCTCCATTAACCTGTTTTAACCAAGCTTTTACACTACTGCTCACTGGATTCATGGTGGAAACTCATCTGTTTGTTTAAACTACTGATCATTGAAGACTTTTTGCTCAAGAGGGAGGTTTCTTTAGAAGTAGTTTTCCTTATAGTGTACTTTTTCTTACCTCTACAAAGTCAGTGTTTACTTCAAAACAATTTTTCTTGTGTAAATTTAAATACTGCAGATTCAAACAACACATTGCACAATTTATTGTCTGGCACAATTAGCAATTACCATGGACAGTGGAGATAACTCGTGAATGCCGAATGTGTAAACAGCAACATGAAGAGGATATTGATATATAGTTGAGTTGAGTGCATGGTGTGACACTGTGAGCTACGAGTGTTTTTTCGTTGGCACAGGAGCGGAGCAACAATGGGGTGACCCGTTTGCTATGATGCTGAAACTAGGATTACCAGATTACCAGATTGATATATAGATAGACAATTAGCAATTAGGCATCCCCACCTGATGGTCTGATCTAAGCATACAAAATTGAACGCAAAGTAGAAGAAGAAGAATTAGCAATATCTTCTCTCAGGTGCATAACGGCAGGGTTACATCAATATATAATGAAGCATAAAAACTGAATCCTTTTCACTGTAATACACAGATCACATCACAGTGTCCAGTTACACTTTGCATCCCTCCACCAGAAATTCAAGATTAGGCCTGGGATAACTATGGCAATTTAAAATTTATCACATGCTCTTATTGTTTACACAAAGCAGAAGTTTTAATTTTTTATTGTTACAGCATCCTTTAGGTTAAGTAAACAAATATCCGGTGTGTGGTAAATAACTTTAATGTAAAGAATTTTAACTTGCTTGATGCTCAGACTTATAGGAATAGACACAATGTAATCATTTTGCCCCAATAAACTCAATGTTTGCCTAATCTAATAAATGCTTTACATGCTTGATGTCCAGGCCGTGTAGAGAGTTTAAGTGTTCAGCATGTAATCCACGTGGCTGCAGGCTCGGAGCATAGTGTTGCTCTCACTCAGGCTCGTGAAGTCTTTACCTGGGGTAACAATGACAGGGGACAGTTAGGTCGAGGAGAAGTTCTGAAGTCAGAGCAGGAAGTACCAAAGTAAGTGGAAGGAATTGTGTGAAAGCTGGCGTAAGAATGTGTGTTTGAATGAATGAATGAATTCCATGTGTGGGTTCCTGAAGCCCCATTCGGTTTAGAGGAGGAAAGGGAGGGGGGGAGGGGTGGTGTGGTTGAGGGGGGGGGATTAGATCTATTGCCCCCTAACAAGCATGTTGTAGACAGCAACTAATTAGAGATTTGCTAAAATCAGATATGTTGGGCTGAAATCACAACACAACATGCTAACCACCCTTTTAAGGATGAACACAGATGAAGAAGAAGAATGACTGGGTCAACAGTTAATATCACTACAGTTGTGAGATTCTCTCAAATGGTCTCTCTCCTTCTTCAGTAGCAAATGAAAACTACCATGCTGATGGTGTCAGTGGGAACATAATTGAGAGTTTGGGGATCTTTTACCTTACACACATTGTACAGTTAATTTCAGATTGATGAAGTCTTCACTGTTTACTGTCATGATCACTTTAATCAGCTGAAAGTAACGTTACATTGATGGTCTCTTGCCTTTAACTGTCTTGATCACTTGAATCTGTTAAAAGTAATGTTACATTGATGGTCTCTTGCCCTTAACTGTCTTGATCACTTGAATCTGTTAAAAGTAATGTTACATTGATGGTCTCTTGCCCTTAACTGTCTTGATCACATGAATCTGTTAAAAGTAATGTTACATTGGTGGTCTCTTGCCCTTAACTGTCTTGATCACTTGAATCTGTTAAAAGTAATGTTACATTGATGGTCTTTTGCCCCTAACTGTCTCGATCACATGAATCTGTTAAAAGTAATGTTACATTGGTGGTCTCTTGCCCTTAGCTGTCTTGATCACTTGAATCTGTTAAAAGTAATGTTACATTGGTGGTCTCTTGCCCTTAACTGTCTTGATCACTTAAATCTGTTGAAAGTAATGTTACATTGATGGTCTCTTGCCCTTAACTGTCTTGATCACTTGAATCTGTTAAAAGTAATGTTACATTGATGGTCTCTTGCCCTTAACTGTCTTGATCACTTGAATCTGTTAAAAGTAATGTTACATTGGTGGTCTCTTGCCATTAACCGTCTTGATTACTTGAATCTGTAGAAAGTAATGTTACATTGGTGGTCTGTTGTTATTAACCGTCTTGATTACTTGAATCTGTTGAAAGTAATGTCACATTTATGGTCTTTTGCCCGTCACTGTCTTGATCACTTGAATTTGAAGAAAGTAATGTCAGATTGGTGAAGTCTCTTGCCATTAACTTTTTCAGGCCCATGAATTTTGACAGACTTGGCCTACATAAATTTTCCTTTAAAAAAATGGCAGAGCTGGTGGTGGGGAAATGCCTGAGAAAAGTTGCCAGCTTAACCATCTGAGACAAAGTTAGAAATGATACTATCAGACATGCTAGGAACAACACCATGCAGCCAATTCAAATGGTTTTTCAGAAAAGCAACAGAGAATGTAATATACTTCCAACCCCTATAAAAGTATATATTTTTTTAAAGAGACATGAATTTACATTTTGAATCTGATGATAAGTGTATGTTTAATTTTGTTATAGTTAGTATGAAACAAGCAGGTGTTAACTTCACAACAGCAACATTTTACAAACAAATGTCTTCACCTACCATGGTTTTGCAGCCACACGAGTAGTGAATATCCAAATTTGAGAACAAAACTTCAAAGTTTGTTTAATTTCGTAACAAATTCCAAAGTTATGATAAGTTTATGGGTTAGTTTAGCACTCAGGTGCTCTTAGTTCTCACAGAGTGCTGAGCAAAATTTCAGAGAAAAAAATGGCAGACAAATGGGCCATTATACTCACACACTATTTACTATTAACTTTGTATAGTTATATACAGCCATATTATAGTACTGTCTCTTTGGTTAGAGCACTTTCCTTCTATTACACCATAAATACGGTAGCAATGGGACATTGTCTGTGTAAACTCATCAGAATCGCTAGATTCTCATCTGTCTGCTGCTGGTGAAAATTCACCATCCGAATCACTATCCGAATTATCTAAATTTTTAAAATATAGTGTCAGTTTGGTGGTCTCTTGCTACTGTCTGTCTTAATAACTTAAATGAAATGAATATTATTTGAGATTGGTAAAGTCTGTTGCTATTTACTGTCTTGATAACTTAAATCTGTTGAATATAATATCAGATTGTTGAAATCTCTTGCCATCAACTGTCTTGATCACTTGATTCTGTTAAGTCTAATGTCAAATTGGTGAAGTCCCCTTTGTTAACTATCTTATTCACTTATCATTTGAATGTTATGTCAGATTGGTGGTCTCTTGCTATTTACTCACTTGATCACTTGAATCTAATAAATGTAATGTGAGATTGGTGAAATCTGTGACTGTTAATTGTCTTGATTACTTGAATTTGTTGAATGTAATGTCAGATTGTTTAAATCTTTTGCCATTGACTGTCATAATCACTTGAATCTGATAAATGTCATGTGACATCAGTGAAGTCTTTTACTATTTACTGTCTTGATCACTTTAATCTGATGAATGTAATGTCAGACTGTTTAAATCTCTTGCCATTGACTGTCATAATCACTTAAATCTGATAAATGTCATGTGACATCAGTGAAGTCTTTTACTATTTACTGTCTTGATCACTTTAATCTGATAAATGTAATGTGAGTTCAGTGAAGTCTATTGCTATTTCCTGCCTTGATGATCTGAATTTATTGTATGTCATTTCAGATTAGTGAAATCTCTTGCTGTTTACAGTGTATTACAAGTAGCCTGTGGCAGTGACCACACCATTACTTTAACAAATGGTTTGTGCTGTTGTTTATTCTGGTTGATTTTTTGACAATTGTATATGTGTAAAATCAACTTTGTGTATATTATGAGCAAGTGGAAATGGCATGGGATTTTCTCTCTAGAAGAATAATTGGTTGTATTTGGGGGGAGGGGAGGTGGGGGGGGGGGGGGGGGGGTTAAAATGATAAATTTCAAAACCTTTTTTAATCTTTAAAAGTTATTTAACATCCAAAGAGTAAGGATGCAATGAGTGTATCAGTGGTCATTTGACTAGTGCATGAGAACATAACAGCATTAGTTACTGTGTCATTATGAAAGCTAAACCACAGATACTATTAGCCGTTCAGGACTCACTTCTTCTTTTGTCTATTTCTACCCCTTTATCCCCCAATGAAACATAGGCCGTCAGTAACTTTAGCCAGGTTGTCCTATCTTTTGCTGTTACATACAGCTCACTCCATGTCTTTCCTGTCTTTTTAACTTCATTTTCCAGTTCCCTTCTCCATGTGTTTTTGGTCTGCCTTATTTTTTTGTATGGTTCTAGTGCAAAGACATTGTAGTTACATTGATTTCAAATTTTCTCAACATTTGGCCTATCCAACACCAGCATCTCTTCTTCACCTCTCAATTCATTGGAATTTGTTTAGTTCTCTCCAGGTCTTCTTCTTCTTTTTCCGCATTCCGAGCCATTGGAGTTCATTACTGCAGCTGGTTGGCCTTCTCTTTCCAGTTGGTGACACCAAATGGTTATTGGTCTGTCTGGATATTATTTCTCTCCCATCCTCTTGGTCTACCTCGTTGTCTAGATCATTCAGCTGTCTTGTGTATACAGTTTTTACCTCTCTGTCATATGACATTCTCTCAATATGCCCCAGCCATTTCAGTCTATTGGGCCTCATGATGCCAGTGATCAATGGAGATTTAAACAGATTATGAACTTTATGCCCTTTCCTTGTCATGTTATTATCATGCATTCTCTCTTATCTTGATTGATAACGTGCCATGTTGTGAGCTGCTTCTTTTAAGAGAGTCAGTGTTTTTTACCCTCAGTTCCTTTTCTCCAACAATATCAATGTCATTTGCATAACCAAATATTCTTGTTGTTTCTCCTATAGTACACTCTTCTTTCTATTTTCATTATAATTTTCTCCAGGGCCAGGTGAAAAGAAGCTGGGATAGAGCATCACTTTACTTTAAACCAGGTGTTATTTGAAAAGTGTCTGACTGTCTGCCTTTATATGTTATTATAAGTGTCTTCCCCGCATAATTTTTTCCTGGTGAAAAACTTCTTTGGTATTCCAAAGTCCTTCGTAATATTCCATGAACTGTTTTTATGTACCTAATCCTATGCCATTTTAACATCCACAAAAACATTATATACATCTCTTCTATATTGCCTTGTTTGCTCTGCTATGTGCCATACAATGAATATCTGATCTGTTGTTGATATGTTCTGTTGGAAACCTGCTTGGTAATCACCCAGTATGTCTTCAGTATATCGCTCCAGGTCAGACTACTTTATAAAAAAGAACTAATAGCCCCAGCTTTTTATACTATAAATTTAGTTTTCATTGCAAGTTTTAAGATTGCTGTTTGCAAATTTCATTTAAGTAAAAGACCAATGTCACACCAGTGGTGAGCTTGACATATGATGCTAGACTTTTTATTTTTATAGACTGATTGCCACTTTATGGGTGGTGCAGTCAGTGTCAGATCAACCATCTTTACTTTCCAGGTCTGAGCTGATACCCATTTTAGGCTAAGTCAACCTGGAAGCAAAGGTCAGTTTTGAAGAAGAAAACAAATAATCCTAGTGTGAATTCAAGCGGCGTCTGTGGCTTAGGCGTTGTGAGTCCAACTTACTGCGATCGCAACCCACTGCTAGCTGCATGGATTTTTATCATGGTATAGGGAGTCGCAGGTCGACCCAATCTAAAATGGGTACGACGATGTATGTCCTGGGGAAGTAAAGACGGCCGGCGCAATGCTAACCACATTACCCACCAAGACTTCCGGTCAAAATGGACGCGAGGCAGGTGCACTGTTTGGAGCCGAGGCAAATTTGTTGCTTCTGCCCAATGGTGGCCTATGCATTTTTGCTCCATTTATAGACTGGATATAGTTTCGTCGCCCAGCTTCTGAGTTGAATGCATGGCGTGACACTGTGAGCTGCAGATTTCATTAGGAATGTTCCTTCGACTGTGACCAACGTGGGGTGTGAATTGTAGATTCAGAAAATGGCATGATGCCTTTCATTGCAATGTTGGTGGTGCCCGTGATTAAAATTGATCGCGTGAGCAACTGCTGATCTGTTGGTGACTTCTGCTACCATCAGTGATGAACTGCATTTCTAATGTCGGACTGTTTGTGTTAGCACTTCGGATGGCTATCGTATGCTTTAATGCGTGTGTATGCTAGATATGCTGAGACAGCAGTCTTTCAATCTTTCCACAAAGGACTGTGATAAACAATTTGTGCATTTTTTATTGGCACAGGAGCGGAGCAAAGATGGGGTGACCCGTTTACTATGAAGCTGAAACTAAGACTATCAGACCAGACCAGACCCACCTAGTACCGATTAGTCTTTAAAAATATGGATGATGCACCCAATGCATAAAAAATGGATCTTTACTTACTTTTATTAATGTGAATTCAAACCTAACACCTTTGGCCTGTAGGAACAAATCTAGCCACCACACTGCCGCTCGCTGCTCACCACAGATCAGTGAGATGCTACAGCAATATGATAAATTTTTAAACCTGTTTTAATCTTTAAAAGTTATTTAACATCCAAAGAGTAAGGATGCAATGAGTGTATCAGTGGTCATTTGACTAGTGCATGAGGACATAGCAGCATTAGTTACTGTGTCATTATGAAAGCTAAACCACAGGTACTATTAGCCGTCCAGGTGTCATTTCTTCTTTTGTCTATTTCTGCCCCTTTATCCCCCAATGGAACATAGGCCATCGGTAACTTAAGCCAGGTTGTCCTATCCTTTGCTGTTACATACAGCTCACTCCCTGTCTTTTTAACTTCATTCTCTAGTTCCCTTCTCCAGCTTTCCTAATGTGACCACACAGAGCTTGCCTGTCACTGCCAACAAAGTCTAAGCACTAAAAGTCATACACCACTTTCACATCATAACTATTAACATTGATAACTTGTGTTGTCTGCGCTTCCTGGCTCATCACCGTTGTATTCTTCAGAATTAACCGTCATGGCAATTTCTGAAGAATAGTTTTGGTTCCATAATGATAGTGCCACCAGAGAAGTCATCGTTTGCCTAAGAAAAATGTATAGAAGTTCCTGGTACTTAATTTAGACTAGGTTGACTGGTAGTCGTGGTCAGTAAACTACCTCAGTGGGGATTCAATCCTATGAGCTTTTCCCTGATGGGCAAGCCTCCAGTCACTGTGCTGTTTTTCCAGCTCCCAATAACATCTAACAACAGGCTACAGACAAGAGGGCGATCAAGAAAAAATGGATAGAAGTAAAAAAGACCTCTACAGAAACGCAATAAGATGTTAACACAAGCTATACAACTAACAAAAGACAGAAAACTACATCTGATGGTTCTTTATTAATATCCTACCCCAGATGCTGTCACAGGACAGTCCAACATTTTAAAGGGTGGTAAGACTGGGTTTCCCAGCTTTCTTATGCTTTTAACAACCCCAAAACATCTAGAACTGGCCCTAACCCCAACCAACCCACCTGTCCCACGAGAGAGTGTAGCCTAAGCCCCACGAATGCATGCAGCCTAGGTCCCATGATTGCATGCAGCCTATCTACCACCACCTAAAATATTAGACTGTTCCGTGACCTGTGGATTTGCCCTGTTTGAGGTAGGATATTAATAAGGCATCCATCTGACTGCTTACTGCAATGCTTTCAAGCATAAGCAGTAGGAAAGAAGAAGAAAAATATCTAAAATTTACTGTAAAGATTATGGATGATAGAAGTTGAAACCTTGACTTCTGCTAATGAAATGTATCTTCTTTATCTAGATGGCCTGATTTTTGTATGGGGCTCAAATATTTTTGGGCAGTTGGGTCTGGGAAGGAACACTGATACCTACCAGTACCTGCCAGAGTTGGTCTCATGTCTGAGAGGCATCCCAGTTGCACAGGTAGCAGCTGGTGGCAACCACAGCTTCATTTTGTCTAAATCAGGGGCTGTTTATGGCTGGGGTAAAAACAGGTCAGAATATTTATTGTTCTTGTATAAGCTTTTTTGGTTAAAAATACTACTGTAAATTGTGGCATATAAATTTGTTTTCAAGTCTACAAATCTTTCTAACACTAGGAGTTGACTTACAGGCAGGTATAACATGCAAAGATTTCTCTACAAATGGGATTCAGGACCCCGTTTGTAGTAAACAAATTAAATACCCCACTTTAACATTAGAAGTTGACTTACAGGCAGGTATAACCTGCAAACATTTCTCTACAAATGGGATTCAGGGCCCCGTTTGTAGTAAACAAATCAAGTGCCCCACTTTAACATTAGAAGTCGACTTACAGGCAGGTATAACCTGCAAACATTTCTCTACAAATGGGATTTAGTGCCCCGTTTGTAGTAAACAAATCAAGTACCCCACTTTAACATTAGAAGTCGGCTTACAGGCAGGTATAACCTGCAAACATTTCTCTACAAATGGGATTCAGGGCCCCGTTTGTAGTAAACAAATCAAGTGCCCCACTTTAACATTAGAAGTCGACTTACAGGCAGGTATAACCTGCAAACATTTCTCTACAAATGGGATTCAGGGCCCCGTTTGTAGTAAACAAATCAAGTGCCCCACTTTAACATTAGAAGTCGACTTACAGGCAGGTATAACCTGCAAACATTTCTCTACAAATGGGATTCAGGGCCGCGTTTGTAGTAAACAAATCAAGTACCCCACTTTAACATTAGAAGTCGACTTACAGGCAGGTATAACCTGCAAACATTTCTCTACAAATGGTATTCAGGGCCCCGTTTGTGGTGAAGAAATCCACTGCCACTTCAACATTAGGAGGTGACTTATAGATGGGTATGACATGCAAACCTTCGCCTACAAATAAGATTCAGGCCCCATAAGTAGCGAAGAAACCCCCCTCCTCCCCCTCACTTTAACGAGCATGTTGTAAAATTCAGCTAATGAGGGGCTTTTTTTTAAAGTTGGAGTGCATCTACCTGAGAGGCTAGGGACCAGCAGTCTGCATATAAATAAGCCAGTTCTGTAACATGGATGTTCATTCAAAACTCAAGTTCTGGAACAAGGCTAAAGTTCAGAAGTGGGCAAACAACCAGAACTTTCCACTGTAGTCTACAGCCGGTGATGACGAAGAAGAAGAGAAAGAATAAAGGCAAACTAATGCCGCCTAGTTGTAAGCAAGTGGTAAAAAACTCCTAAGAAAATTTGTACACCACTCAAAGTATCTGCAGATGTATCTCACTAAAATTTGTATTTGGTCAAGATAGTATAGCATACAAATCAATTCAAAATAATGAAATAGTGTCACACACTCAGTATCCTATTTAAACATATTTAAAGGCAAAATTATGTTTTTAAAAAAAAGGTAAAAGTAAAGTCAGGAGATGTGAACCAGCGTCATTGCACACAGATATAAACCATAAGTGCTCTGCCATCAATACCGACAGCTGATAAGAAACTGTCCGCCTATGTCGCCGCCTGCACGCAACTCTGAAGCTACAACAACGTTCCTCCATTTACCCCAGAGTGGTAACTCTAGTACCCATTACTTAGAGGCTGGATGAACCCCAGGAACTGCACGGTTTTGACCACTGGCTGTTGGCTGCAGCAAGTCGCAGCTGAATTTGAAAGTGAGTCTCATATTGACTGCACTAACGCGGTCCCAAAAATTATGTTTGTGTCTCAGTACAGTACAGACCTGATAAATTTTCATCTTATCAGAAATTCTTTTATCTAGGTAAGAGTTCAAGCAAGACCGATTGCTGGGGATAAACAAATTGTTCTTCACAACAGAAATTTCCCACATAGGAGATTGTCTTAAGTGGTCTGCACTGTATATTTGTAAGTGGTGAGACTGTAGCCTAACTACTTTTACCTCTAGGCCCAAGTTTTGGGCAACTGATTGCCAGCTGTGTGTTTGGGGGTTGGTGTGACCAGTATTGTTAGGGAACTGTGGTGGTGTAGTGGTGAGATTTTACGCCTCCCAGTCTGAAGGTCTGTAGTTCATCTGTGCAACAAGTCAGATTTTCTTCAGAAACCACCCCAGGTGGACCCAACCTTAAATGGGAACCTTGTCAGTCACACATACAGCAATTTCATACAATGCTCACATCTGCTAAAATTCTCAAAAACTTGATGTCTACAAAATTATTAGGTCATTAGCAGTTCCTAATGGGGCGAAACTGTGATAGCCAGATTGCAGACCAACACCCACTGTCCCATAGCAGTCATACCATAAAGCTATCCAGTTAAGGATTTGCTGAAATTTTATTTATCAGGTCGGAAGACATAGATATTGCAGCTTGGCCATAAACTGTAACATGGAATACCAATCACCCTTTTAAGGTCAAATGTGAAAGAAGAAAAGGCAATACCGTGAGTATCATACTCTCATCACGGCGTCAGAAAGCTGTTTAGTTCATTGCCAGTTGTTTTGCATCATGAACTTTAACACCCACGTTGGTTTTTGATATCCACCATCTAATAATCGACCCTTGCCTTTTCCTGCCAGGAACCATCCCTTCCATTACTTTTCTCACAAACCATTATGGTGTTTAATATGACCAAAGTATTTAAATCTTTTAGATAAATAATTTGTCTGCCTTGAATTTCAGTTTTGGCCAACTGGGTGTGAATGACACAGAAGGTAAGTAGTATACTTAATCATTTGTGAAAAATACTAGACTGTCGTATTCAAAATGGTACATAAGGTCACCTTAACAAAAAGCTATTTATATGATGATGAACTGGTACGTGAGGGGTGATGTGATCCAGCCAAGCTGACATTTCCTGGAAGATTATGGAAAGTGTATGAAACTGCACTAACAGGAAAATATACAGTGTTCCCATATCTAAGAATTAAGCCACAAACAACAGTGTGTGCAAGCAAGTTCATCAGCCACTGTTCTGTGACTAATATATTAATTAGGATGCAAGAATTCTTGTAGCATGTTTGGTTAGCTAACATATGTATCAACTAACCAATATCAGTATATTTCTATGA